TATCATGATACTGAAAAAAAAGTTACCGGAGGTATATTGCATCAACAACCCTTCCCCACCCCTCACCACCGTCGCTAAGGTTACCAGGACTGGGACAAAATAAGTTATCAGGTCTGCGATATGTGAGTTATCATGTTCTTCACACAAAAAGTTACCAAGCGTATATTTCATCAACCACCCTCCCCCCATCCAGTCACCAAATTTACCAAAGGACGGGGGTGCATTCGTTATCAGGTCTACAAGGTGTGAGTTACCGTGCTATTCACATAAAAGTTATCGGGGGTATACTTCATTACTCCTCCCTCACAAAAAATACCAGGACCGAGGTGCATAAGTTATCAGGTCTCCGATGTGTGAGATACCCTGCTATTCACAGGAAAGTTACCGGGGGATACTTGATCACACCCCCCCCCCCCAAATGCCAAATTTATCAGGACCAGGGTACATAAATTATTAGGTCTGTGATGTGTGAGTTATCAGGGTGTTTGTGTGTAAGTTATCAGGTCCATGGTGCATTAATGACCATGTTATTCACACAACATTATTGGGGGATGTTTCGACAAAAAAATCAGGCCAAAAGAACCATGTTAGTGGGGAAATCATTGACGACCACTAATTTTTAATGTTCAAACTCGTACTAACCAAGAACAAGTATCATGTAAACTTTTTTAAAAAACAACAAGTCTGAAGCGGGGCTAGTGGTTTGTGTCGTGGGAATTACTACTTGAGGTACATGGTTCGGTTCTTATCCAGCACAGGAAGCCATCAATTTTTTTTTGAAACGTGGGCAAGGATGCGATCGGTAAATGTTCCTCTTAATTTAGGAACATGGGCCGATGGGATGTGATCATGTGAGGAAAAAAAGTAGAGGGAACGGGCCTGCGTCGGGAAAAAAAGTAAAAGAGAACGAGCCAGCGTCGGGAGAGACGTGGGTTGTGCGGGCGATCCGGACGGGGTCCTCGGGGTCGTGCGATCCACAACGAGCAACAATCGGGTTGTAGGGATCTATTGCTAACTTTCGGTCGAGCTTTAAGAATTGACGCAAGTACTACACCACACAACGTTTATCACAACAAGCAGCTTAGTCCATGTGGTTCATGTTCCTCGTCAGAATTCTTGAGTCTGGAGTTTGACTCCAGCTCCCAGCAAAGATTTTGGGAATTGTCACAACTTTCATTTTTGATGCTACGAGGTTTAAAAGGTTAAGTTCTTATGATTTTCAAGTTGGACCACTAACATGTTGTAGCTCGTTGGTTAAAGGGAGCTTGCGGAGGCTGTGCGTCCTGGGTTCGATCCCTGTCAGGCGCTTTATTTTTCTTCCTTGGCTCTAGCAATCAGCCAATAGAAAAAAATATCTAGCGATCCATGCAGTGCAAGAAGTCGAACGTGGATCGTGCGTCTCGCGAAGCGTGCGTGCCTGAAGCAAACCACCAGTCGACTGGTCGTTAGATTTTGCGTTAATCTTTTTATATGAGTGTAATACTTGGTTATGTTTGATTCCATAAAATGTTCCGGAATTTTCTTTTGACATATTTAGGACTACCAAATTATTTTTGAACATATAGGAGGATATGGCACCCGAGTGCTCCTATGTATTTTTTACCTAAGGGATCAGCTAGAAATGTTGTAAGAAACAAACTTCCTTGTTTTCCGAAACGAAACAAACTTCCTTGTAGGTTAAGCTTTCTTGCGTCTGAGCTCACCCATGTTGATTTTAGACGGTCTTTTCATTTGGCTCTTTTTTCTTCGAGGGCCATTTGACTCATTGTGTTTACATCATCTTGATGTTTTATTTCAAATCAATAAAAATTACCTTCTTAAAGAAGATCTAAAATGCATCGTGGCGCTCACATGGGGCCGTCCCGTCTGAGATGAGATCCAATCAGACCACACCAAGCAGTGGTAGTTCGTGCCACATGGAGAGACTGTCCAAAAATTAATCAACGTTGAGGTGGAGCGCATCCTTGCTTGCTGTTTCGTGGGGGATACCTGGCTGCCACACAAATACATTGCGCGTCGACCTGCCGACCTGCCGTACGTACGTGGCGGTTGGTGCGATTCGGCTCGTGCATTATTATCTCTTGCCGGCGGCGAAATATCGCACACTCCCAACTTCACAGGAGACCCGCCGTTGCGCCCCAAAAATATCCGCGACAGAACCGGCCGACCAACTGGCTAGCTAGTAGCTAGTGCCCAGGAGATGCGTGGTGCATCCAAACTTTTCAGACCAACTAGCTAGCTAGTGTTCAGGACGTGCGTGATGCATCGAAACTTTTCAGACCCGATCTATCTCTTGTTTTACTTCGCGAGGAAGACCCAAAATATCTTCGGTTTCATCTCAATATATAGTGTGCAATAATGCATCTACTTTTGTTTCAGTTGCCTGAAATTATAAATTTCGTTATATTAGTTGATTTTGCATTAGAGGAGCGAAGTTCCGAACTTGAGGCTGGGACGTTGGGAGGCAGTTAATCATGGTATCGTCGGCGGCAATGAGTCCGAGACTTGACATGTTTTGGTGCAGGGTGCAGGGGATGGTCGATGGCGCTAGAGACGGTGGGGCCTAGAGGGACGGTTGGCGGCGGTGGCTCGGGCAAAGCAGCAAGCGACAACATTCACTTGATGAGGGTGGCGGCAAAAGAGAGTTGGACTGACGGTATGGGAAAGGGGAGGGGGCGGGGGCGTGTGCCATCGTGTTGGAGAAGAAGAACAATGCATCGGGGAGGAAGATGACCAACATGATCAAACGGCATTGTCTATCCCTTCATCTCGTGGCTCTCGGACGAACAAGGCGATTAGGGTTTCCCCTGACTCTCCTCGGCGTTACCGCTCGTGCCGTCCGCCACGTCTTCTGTGGCCTTAGGGCCATGAAGGCGTGATGGACTCCAGCCCTTATCTGTGGGAAGGATCGTGCTCCTTTTTTAGTTAATGTTTTGATTTCGGTTAGGATTTGTGTCCTGTTTAGGAAGACGAGGCAGCAACACCTCCTTGTAGATGGAATAATGTCCTTACGTCCTAGCCCCGTCCCGACGGGTCGTCTAGCACCATCGAGGCGTGTCTTCGATAAATCTCAGGATTTGTTCGGTGCTGGTCTTTGGTGGATCTGTTTGAATCCAGTCTTTGTTCGTCTTCGGTGGATCCATCTTGATTCTGCTGTCCATCGTCTTTGTTTGTGTGTCTATATGTTTGATCATTTCAATCTATTTTTCTCTTTGTCGGTGTTGGCTGTTGTTTTAGTACGCTGGTCCTATGAGATCTTAATATGAAAACTTCTCGATTGTCTATGATGATAAGGTTTGGTCGGCTCTGGTGAAGAAGGGGTGATGACGATGTCATGCCTTTGACTCGCTCCACTGGTTTAGTTGTTTCTAGGTGGTCCATGACCATGAACACTGTTATATTTTTGTCACTTCTAATGCATTTTTAACTGCCATGATAGATTATAAATAGACTACGAATAGATCGAAATAGTACGGTTTGGGCGAATCGACAGAAATAAAATAAATCATGCGCTTGATGGCATGATGCATATGTTTTTTTAGGCAGGCTTGATGCAGAGGTGGTCTCATGTTTCAACGAGTACAGTTAATTAGCGAATACTTTGTGAACACTTCATTAATTTGAGCGTGAACACCAGAACTAACAAGTAACAGTACAGGCAAACATGCAAGCACCTCACTCACAAGTCACCACAGCAGCAAGCCATAGACAGACTCAAGTACGTACTGTAGTTACGTACATCGAACACCACAATTTGTGGAATCACACCCAGGGGAACCGATCGAGCAGATCATACAAGCGGCAAGGCAACTTACCGCTCGCACGTCTGCACCGGCGTACGTCGCAATCAGCACGGGCTGGCCTCGCCGACCTCGATGGCCACGGCCGGCTCGGGCATGGTCACGGCAGCAACGGCGACGCTGGCCCTGGGCACTGTGACGATGAGCTGCGCGCCGCCGTCGTCCATGGCGGCCCTGACCTGGCCCAGGGCGGCGTCGTCGGGGAGGTGGAACCTGCCGAAGAAGGTGGCGACGCTGCGCTCGACGTGGTGGCGCGTCTCGCTCTTGGCCTCCCTCCGCAGGTTCCGCTCGCCGGCGATGACCAGCACCTTGCCCTCCTCCTCCACCTCCACCTTGACCTCCTCCTTGGTGACGCCCGCGGGGAGCCTGGCGCTGAACACGTAGGCCTCCGCCGTCTCCCGGCTCTCGATGTAGGTGTCGGCGAACGCCGTCGTGTCGCTGGCCAGCCAGGCGTCGGTGCCGCTGGACGCCGTGGTGCCGAAGATGCTGCCGAAGGGGTTCCACGAGTCCAGGGCCAGCGTGTCGAAGAACCTCACCAACGACATCCTCTAGATCGGTTTAGCTAGCCCTGCTTGGGGATATGTATGTAGCTTGTGTACTACCAAATGCTGGCTAGCTAGCTCGTTTCCTTTTGTGAATGCTTGGAGCTGGCTAATGGCGAGGCAGCGGCTATATATGGACGACGAAAGTATACACCAGCCACCAACCTGCCTTGCGCCTTCCTGCGGACCCGCAGCTGTCTCTGTAGCTTGAGTTGTCCTTGCGCTTGCGGGAGTAATGTGAAGTGAGCCGGCCAGTTTCGTTGGTTTGCGCATGGACTCATATGGGACGATCACGAAAGCACACACGAGAAATCCGAGCAACGGTGAAAGCCGACCCGATGCACCTAAAAAATGCATCGAAAAATATCCAAAAAAATACTACTTTACAGGACCATTTTACGCCAAAATATATCGCACGTGAAACTAAAAAATTGAGTTACAAACGGTCCCTCCCCGGCAGCCGGCACAACTTTTCCGGGCCAGTCCGATCGCGACGTCGCCCAAATTTGTTGGCATATCCTCGTCACCTCGCTACGGATGCTAGCTAGGCTTCGCGACCGATCGGGAGCTAGCCGCCGTGCACAGGATTCGCTCGCCACGGTGTGGGGCAACATGCCCCACGGTCGACGTCGTCGAGTTAAGGGCTCGATGCGCGATCCGTTCACACTCTTTCTCACTCACACGTTGTGTCGCCGACGAGAAAGATCGCGTCGTGCGCAAGGCCGGCCACGTATGTGTTGGACGTTGAGGTAACGATGGCTCAACAGTTGTACCTCTTGGTGTGGCCTGCGTATTCTTTAGTGGTTCCACGCAAGATTCTAGCCTCTAGCTAGGATTGTGAAGGCAATCATTCTTTTAGCTAGTGATGTTACATACGCACAGGCCACATAGCTTAATCTTGCTTCCTGTTACATTTGGTGAGTCGTCCATGTTCTTGTTACGTTTGGAAAAGGGAGGGCTTCTCATTAATTCTTTGCGCCGTATCAAATTCAAAGCTTGTGCGTCACCACATTTCTGTTTTCAACCTTGCTGTCCAATTCGCATTGCTCAGCTTTTTTTTTCGAGACAATTCGCGTTGTACAGCGTTGTGCCCTTGACTGGTCGACGTACGTGTCCGCTGCAAGCCTGCACAGGAGCTGAAGTCAAAATATAGTCCAATCTACAGTAGATTCTAGAGTGCTTTTCTACCACACGTGAACCGTGCGTCTTTCAAGCCGGGTGAGTTCGGACAAAGATGAGGTCGTCAGACGTCCCCGTTTTTCTCCGCCATGAACTGTGGATTGTCGATCCGATCCCGACGGCACGTACGTCCGTGATTCGCTTCACTTCCATTGACACCAACATCGGGTTTAATCTCCGTTTTGAAACGAAAAAGGGAGAAGGAAAAGTTTTGGTCCACGAAAAAACTCCCGGTCCCAACAGACATGTTATGCCGACTACTCGACGACGACAAGTACCCATCAGCAGCAACCGCTACGTACGTCCTCATCCGGCAAGCAATTTCTTCCTTCTTCA